CGGTGGTTTCTGTATTGCCCACATTTGGACAGCCGCCATGTTGGCTTGGAAGCTCAAGTGGCGCCGTAACGATTGCCGTTCGGATTTGGATTGCAAGATGCGGCCCGTACGTGCCCCCTTGATTGTGCGCCGTAAAATGCGACTACGCGCGCGCCCTCTTTCGCACCGTGGTTTCTGTATTGCCCGCAATAGGACAGCCGCCATGTTGGCCTGGCAGCCCAAATGCCCCGCAGCGGTTGCCGATGGGATTCCCAAGCAACCATGCGGCGTTTACGTGCCCGCCTGTTGGTGGGCCATTCGCTGCGCCTGCTCGCGCGGTGGTTACTGCATTGCCAGCAATCGGGCGATTGCCATGTTGGCTTGGAAACTCAGGTGTGCCCTTAGCTTTTGTCGCTTGAATTTGAAGATCATCATGCGGCCTGTGCGTGCCCGCCCGTTGGCGTGCCATACAATGCGCCCACGCGCGCGGTGGTTTCTGTTTTGCCCGCAATAGGGCGGCCGCCATGTTGGTCTGGAAACCTAAGTGGCTCCTCAGCGGCTGCCGATTGGATGTCAAGCCCAACGTGCGGTTTTTAATTGCCCGCCCATTGTTCCGCCATGCAATTCATGCGCGCACGCACGCGGTGTTTTCTGCATTGCCCGCAATACAGCGACCGTCATGTCGGCTTGGGAACTCAGGTGGGCCCTCAGCGATTGCTGGTTGGATTTCGATCTCAGCACGCGGCCTGTACGTCTCCGCATGTTGGTGCGCCATACAAAGCGCCCGCGCACGCGCGCGCGCTCTCGCGCGCGGTGGTTTCTTTATTTGCCAGCAATAGGACAGCCGCCATGCTGGCCTGGAAGCTCGAGTGGCTCCTCAGCGGTTGTCGATTGGATGTCAAGCCCAACGTGCGGCTTGTACGTGCCCACTTGTTGGTGCGCCATGAAATGCGTCCACGCGCACGCCCTCTCTCGCGCGGTGGTTTCTGTATTGCCCGCAATGGGACGGCCGCAATTTTGGCTTGGAAACTCACGTGGACCCTCAGCGATTGCTGGTTGGGTTTCGTTCTCAACGCGCGGCCCGTACGTGCCCGCCTGTTGGTGCGACATGCAATGCTCCCACGCGCGCGCGCTCTCTCTCTATCGCGCGTTGTTTTTCTGTATTGCCTACAATAGGACTGATGCGCCATCCAATGTGCCTACGCGCGCGGTGGTTTCTGTATTGCCCGCAATAAGACTGCCGCCATGTTGGCCTGGAAACTCAAGTAGCCCGTTAACGTCTGCAGATTGGATTTCCAACCCAACATGCGGCCTTGAAGTGCCCGCCTGTTGGCGCCCCATACAATGCGCCTACGCGCGCCCGCGCGCGCGCTCCTGGGCGCCCGCGCCCGCGGCCCCTCGCGCATGGTGTAATTTCCACAGCAGAAAAGGTGTGGGGCGCCGCAAGTACTATGTATTTTCTCATGCAGATTGGGCCAGGGCCGCCGCTCGCGCGGCGGCCCTGGCCCCTCGCGCATGCTATATTTTCTGGCTGAATGAGCCAGGGCCGCCGCACGCACTATGCATTTTCCTAACAGAACGGGCCAAGGCCGCCGCGCGCGCGGCGGCCCTGGCCCCTCGCGCATGGTATATTTTCCCACAGAATGGGCCGCGCGCGCCTGGTTCCAAAGCTACCTTCTTCCGATGTAGCTGTTGCTAGGGGTCGCGAGCCCGCCCTCGCGCATCCCCAACAAAGCATGCCGCTCGGTGGACATCCGCGCGCGCGCCTGGTCCCAAAACCACATTTTTCCGAAGTGTAGCTGTTGCTAGGGATCGCGGCCCCACCCTCGCGCATCCCCAGCAGGACAAGCCACTTGGTGGACATCCGTGCGCGCGCGCCTGGCCCCAAAGCAGATATTTTTTGTTTTTTTTTTCCATCAGAAGTGTAGCTGTTGCTAGGGATCGCGACCCCGCCCTCTCGCATCCTCAGCAAAACATGCCACTCGGTGGACATCCGCGCGCGCGCGCCTGGTCCCAAAACTACCTTCTTCCGAGTTGTAGTTGTTGCTAGGGGTCGCGGCACCGCCACCTCGCATCCTCAGCAACAAAAATACAACTCGGTGGACATCCGCGCGCGCGCCTGGTCCGAAAACTACGCTCTCCCGATATGTAGCTTTCGCAAGGGATCGCGACCCCGCCCTCGCGCATCCTCAACAAAACGTACCATTCGGTGGACATCTGCGCGCGCGCGCCTGGACCCAAAACGACCTTCTTCCGGAATGTAGCTGCTGCCAGGGATCGCGGCCCAATCCTCTCGCATCTTCGGCAAACAAAAATCCAACTCGGTGGGCGCCCGCGCGCGCGCCTGGCCCCAAAATAACCTTGTTCGTGCAGCTGCTTGCTAGGGATCACGACCCCACCTTCTCGCATCCTCAGCGAAAGTACCACTCGGCGGGCATCCGCGCGCGCGCGCCTGGTCCCAAAACTACATTCTTCCGAAACGTCGCTGTTGCTAGGGGTCGCGACCCCACCCTCTCGCATCTCCAGCAACACATACCATTCGGTGGACACACCCGCGCGCGCGCCTGGTTTCAAAACTACATTCTTCCGAATTGCAGCTGTTGTTAAGGATCGCGACCGCACCTTGTCGCATCCATAGCAGAGAAAAACCATTCGGTGGACATCCGCGCACCCGCTCCTGTTCCCCAAACTACCTTCTTCCGCATTGTAGTCGTTGCCCCCACCTTCTCGCCCCCGCCCCCCCCCGCGGAACAAAAAAACGCTCGTTGGACATCCGCGCGCGCCTGGCCCCAAAACTACCTTCTTCCATATGGTAGCTGTTGCTAGGGACCCACCCTTCGCATCATGTCAAAAGTACCACTCGGTGGACATCCGGGCGCGCGCGCGCCTGGCCCAAAAATCATTTTCTTCCGAGTTGTAGCTGCCGCTAGGGATCACGACCCCACCCTTTCGCATCCTCAGCAAAACGTGCCACCCGGTGGACATCCGCGCGCGCCTGGTCCCAAAACTGCCTTCTTCCGAATTGTAGCTGTTGCTAGGGATCGCGACCCCACCCTCTCGCATCCTCCGCAAAAGCATGCCACTGGGTGGACATCCGCGCGCGCGCGCCTGGTCCCAAAAACACCTTCCGAATTGTGGTTTTTGCTAGGGATCGCGACCCCACCCTTTCGCATCCTCAGCAACAGCCACTCGGTGGACATCCACGCGCGCACGCGCCTGTTCCCAGAACTGGGTGAGTAAGCAGGTGAGTGGATGGGTGGATGAGTGCGTGAATGATGACGAGTCGCAGCTGCTCTGCGGTTGCTCGGGGGTTCGTGAATATCTATTGCGCCCCTGCGCACCGCCCCCCCCCCCTTCCCCCCCTCCTCCCCGCCCCCCCGCCGGGGGCCTCCAGGGGCCCCCCGGGGGTTTCCGGGGGGGGCGGGGCCGATTTTTCGAGGATGTCCCACGCGAGGGCGCTGGTTTGAATTCGTCGCCCGATTTTTCTGTTCTCGCCGGAAACGGAATTGGGAGGCAGTTGGCGAGCCCATTGCCTCGTGCGCCGGGGGTCAGGATGGCGTGGGTTCACAAGACAAGCTCCTTCAAATAATGACGCCGGGTGCGTAAGTGCATGAGTGAGTGAATGAGCGATGATGTTGGCGACGATACGTGTCCGCGCGTGCGTGAGTGAATGAATGAGCGAGTGAGTGAAGGGGGATTGTGCGGGGTGTCCAGAGGAAACAAATTGTTGACGCTTCGCGTGCCCCCGCCAGTCCACCCAGAAACGATGCCCAGGATAGTTGCGGTGATCGGGAAGTTGGGGAACATGCAACATAACAGAGGGCTGGGGAAGCTGTCGTAGACTCCAAGAAGGGGGGGATGGATGACCAATCGTCGTCGTCGTCGTCGGAGGAGGAGGAGGAGGAGGAGGACATGGAGGAGGAGGAGGAGGACAACGAGGAGGAGGATGTGGAGTAGGGCGAGGACGAGGAGGACGAGAAAGAGGAGAAGAAACAAGGAAGATATGGGGGCGAAGGATGAGAAAGCGGAGGAGGAGGAGGAGGAAGAGGTGGAGGAGGAGGAGGAGGAGGAGGGAAAGGAGGAAGAGGTGGATGAGGAAGAGGGAAAGGACGGCGAACCGAAGAGCCAGAAGCGTCTCAAATGCCTTTTGTTTTCGGGAACCCTATTGAAGTTTATTGGGAGTCTCTTGGGGGCCTCTTGGAGGCCTCTAGGGCGCCTCTTGGGGTCGTCTGGGTGCCTCTTGGGGCCCTCTTGGGGGCTGCAGGGGCGCTTTTGGGGCCATGTTGGAGGAGATCGATCAACGAAGGGGGGGTTCTTAATTGCGCCCCCCCCATCGGGAGCTCCAGCCGAAATCGCCTCCTGGACCTCCTTTGGGGCGCTCTTGGAGCGCTCGTCGGCGCTTTTGGGGCCGTCATGGGGCTGTCTTGGGGCCCTCCTGGGCCATTTTGGAGCCATTTTGAGGCGTCGGAAGGCCGTCGGAAGCGAAAAACGAGAAAGCATAACACATTGATTTCTGTAAGTTTTGGGAGGATTTGGGCTTCTTCGGGGCCTCCTTGAGAGATCTTTGGCAACTTGGAGCCGTCTTGGGACGGTCTCGGGGCCTTTTGGGGCATCTTGGGGGCCATCTTGAACGATTTCGCGCCAGATTGAGCCATCTTGGACGCTATATTGGGTTCTGAGGCGCTCTTGGAACCATCTTGGGCCATCTTGGGCGCTCCAACGACCCGCGGCCCCCCCCGCCCAGGCCCATGGGGGGGTCAAGGGCAGGGGCAATCTTTCCCCGAAGGGGAAGAGGAAGGGGCGGAAGAGGAAACGCTCTAGACCACCTGCGCCCAGAGGGCTGTTGCTTTCGGGGTTTGGGGGGTTCCGGTGGTTCATCCGGAGCAACGTCCTTGGGTGCAAGACGAGGGGTGGTCCCCCTCAAATTCATATTGAAATCCTGCCAGACAACACTCGGTGTTCGTTTTTGCATCAACGTGCCATGGAGCATGTCGGCGGATGTCGTTTGGCGAGTCCAAATCCTACGTCGCATGTGAAGTGCTTGGTCACGCCCTTCCGGTGCTGTGCAATGTCGCCCCGCCAAGCAGAGAGATTAGGCAGACTTTTCAGGGTGCTGTGGCAAGCGCGTTGGCGCGTGCAGAAGCCAATATCATGTTGATGACGCTCGAAAGCAACGACATTGTTGTTGGACCACGCGCCAAAGACAATTTATTGCGTACTTTCGGTCAACCGCCTGCTAAAGACGCGCCTATTAGCTTGCCCCGATTGCGCGCATTGCTTGTGGAGCATTTAGTCGAGCTTTATCCAAGAATGGTTCCCCCGTTTGGCTTCCACGGGTTTGGAGTTCACGACGATGAGCACTGTTGCTGCGAGGCCGAGACATTCAATGGCATCCGGTCCGCGTTGCGCAAGCGAACCCGCCATGATTGAGGGCGTTTCTCTTGGTTGGATTTAATCACATGCGATGCATGGTCTTAACGAATAAATACTTGGTTTGATTTTTCACGCACTGCGCCGCTTGCGTTTCCAGTCGCACATGGGTTTGCGCGCTCCACATTATGCGACGCGTGGTATCATTGAACGAATACTTGGTTGGGTTATTCACAAACTGGTGTGTCCGAATTGCGAATGACATTCTTCTGGCTTGTATTCTGCGCCACGTGACAGTTCTGTATGATGGACGTCGCAGGCGCGGTGTAAATCGGACTTCGCTCTTCCAGATATTGGTTGGGATTCACTCACATGCGATGTAAGGTCTCAATGAACAAATTGTTGGTTTGATTATGCGCACATTGCGGCGTCTGCGTTGCCGGTCGCGCGTGGGTTTGCATCGTTCTCGAGATTATGCGATGCGTGGTGTCACTGCACGAATGCTTGGTGGGATAATTTCAGGTGTTTCCGAATTGCGATTGGCATTTTTCTGGTGTTCATTATGGGTCACGTGCTAAATATATGCGCGGCTGTCTTTGCAGGCGCGGTGTAAATCAGATTTTGCTCTTGCAGATCTTGGTTGGATTTCACTCGAACGCAAGGCGCGGTCGCAATGAACAAATGGTTGGTGTGATCGTTCGCGCATTGCGCCGTCTGCGTTTCCAATCGCATGCGGGTTTGCACCGTTGTCCACGCTATACGATGCGTCTATCGCTGAACGACTAGTTGGTTGGATCGTCCACGTACTGGTGCGTTCGAGTGGCGAATATCATTTTCTGGCGCGTGCATTCTGCAGCGCGCGATACCCATGTATCATTGACCTCGCAGACGCGGTGCGCATCGGACTTTGCTCTTCCAGATGCCCACGCAGCGCGCGCAGATAGAGGCCATTTCTTTATTGATTGGGGCATGGCGGGCGCCATGCCCCCCCCCCCCCTATGACGCAACGCCCCCCCCCCCAGTGCGCTCCGGGCACTGCCGCCGTGCGCGTTGGGATCCGTGTAGGTGTCCGCGTAGGAATCCGCATAGGTGTCTGGTCCGCAGGCGTCGTCGTCGTCGTCGTCGTCGTCGTCGTTGTCGTCGTCGTTCGTCGTTGTCGTCGCTCGTGGTTCGTCGCTCGTCGCTCATCGTCGTCGCGCGCGCGGACGCTGCTGGAGCCTGTTTTTAAGTCCAGGCCGATGACGGCAATCATCTTGGGAGGGGAGGGGGTCGACGACGTCGCGTTTCGCGCCGGCGACACTTGGGAATGGTTAGGAAGGACGGGGGGCGGGTATCACGAACATGTAGGTGGCGATGTACCGCACAACGCCTGTGTACATCACAGCGCCCGCGTGCACCGCGGCGCCTGCGTGCGCCACGCCGCCGATGTGCACCACAGCAGCCGCGTGCAACACAGCGCCAGTTTGCGCCGCCGTGCCTGCGGGCACAGCAACTCCTGTGTACACCGCGGCGCCTCCGTGCACCACATCAGCCGTGCGCAACACAGCGCCAGTGTACACCACAATGCCTGCGTGCATTGCAGTGCCTGCGTGCGCCGCGGCGCCTGCGTGCACCGCATCAGCCGCGTGCAACACAACGCCATTGTTGCGCATAGAATTTCAGAAGTAATCTTTGTGACAAAATGGAGCGCGCGCGGATTCCAGAGAAAACAATGGAGAACAACCCTCATGGAAAAAGGAGCGCCGCTGGAATCTACGAGCCCCCCCGGGTCCGCCCGCATCATCCTAATTCCTCTTTGCGTCCAGGGGGCTCCAGCTAAAGTGGCCGTCCGAGAACCAAGTGGACCGATTCAATCGGTCTTTATGCGGCGCACGCTGCGATGCGCACGTGCGTTGCAACGCCAAGCCGCACGACAGGGGGTAAGAAGGAGGAGAAGGAGGACGCGGAGGCGGAGGAGGAGGAGGAGGAGGATGTGGAGGAGGAGGGAGGAGGGAAAATCGTCGCATTCGATTATCAGAACTTTCCTGGCGTGGCGTGTAGTTGTCCGCATCAGATCCTGACGTACATGTTCCTTCTACCTGTCCTACGCACGCAGGTGCTGTGGTGTGCACCAGCGCTGCGTTGCACGCAGATGCTGTGGTGTAGACAGGCGCTGTGGCGTGCGCAGGCGCTGCGGTGCACGCAAGCACTGTGGCAGTACACAAGCGTTGTGTTGCACATGGCTGCTGCGGTGTATGTACACCGGCGCTGTAGTGCTCCCAAGTATTGTGGTATACGCGGGCGGTGCGTTGCACACGGCTGTTGCGGTGTACGCAGGCGCTGTGGTGCACGCGCGCGGTGCGGCGCACGCGAGCGCTATGGAGTCCACAGGCGCAGTGGGCAGATCGCCACTTACGTGCTGCTCGCGTCGTCGTCGTCGCTCGTCGACGGCGCTGAAATCCCAAGAGGGCCCCAAGACGGCCCAAGAGCCGCCCAAGACGGCCCAAGAGGCTCCCAAAAAACGACCGCTATCGGGCCCGAGCCTTTTCAGGGCTCGGACGCGAGAGGCCCCCAAACTCGCCCAATAGGCCTCCGAGATGGCCCAAGGACAGCCCGAGAGGCCCCCAAGACGACCCCAAGAGGACCCCAAGACGGCCCAAGAAGCTTCCAAGACGCCCAAGATGGCCTCCAAGACGGCCCCGAAGCCCCAAGAGAGCCCCAAGACGACCCAACAGCCGCCCAAGACGGCCCAAGAGGCCCCAAAAGGACGACCACTATCAGGCCCCAGCCTTGTTCAGGGCTGGGACGCGAGAGGCCCTCTAGATCGCCCAAGAGGCCTCCAAGGTGGGGCCAGGGCGGCCCAAGAGGCCCCCAAGACGGCCCAAAAGAGGGCCCCAAGACGGCCCAAGAAGCTTCCAAGTCGCCCAAAAAGGCCTCCAAGACGGCCCTGAAGCCCCAAGAAGGCCCCAAGACGACCCAAGAGCCGCCCGAAACGGCCCAAGACTTCCCAAGAGCCGCCCAAGACGGCCCAAGAAACGCCCAAGACGGCCAGAGGGTGCCGAGCAGCCAAGGAGCGCGCCCCCAAGACATGCCACGGACACCTCTCTTTTTTTCTTTCTCTCTCTCTCTCTCTCTCTCTCTGTCTCTCTTTCTTTCTTTCTGTCTGTCTCTCTCTCTCTCTCTCTCTCTCGCTCTCTCGCACCCATGAAGCGCGCGAGCGAGACTGACTGGACTGACTGGACTGGGCGTATATGTTCGGAGGACAGTGCATTCTCGGCGAACCAGGGCGCAACCTATGGGGCCACCAATAGGAAACGGTTTTCGTTTCGGCGGCCGAAGGCGCAACCTATGGCGCAACCAATAGGAGGACGTTTGATTCTCGGCGGCTCTGCGTCACTCGAAGCCGCGCCTGTCGGCCCTCATCCGCCTCCATGGTAAGGGGGCGTGCGGCTCCCTACCTTCCGTCCATCATGGTCATGATCGCCATCGTCTCGTCCTCCTCATCCGCATCCTCCTCGTCCTCCTTGTCATCCTCGTACTCGTCGTCCTCCTCCTCCGCCTCGTCTTCCTCCTCCTCCTCCTCCCCCTCCTCCTCCTCCTCTTCCTCCTCCTCCTCCTCCTCATCATCATCATCATCAGCATCGCCCTCTTCCTCCTCCTACTCGTCCTTGTCGTCATCATCGCCGCCCGCCTCATCGTTTTCGTCCTCCCCCTCCTCTTCCTCATCCGCCTCCTCGTCTTCATCAAATGGATGGTAGGGGAGCGTGCGGTCCCCTACCTTCCGTCCATCATGGTCATGTTCACCATCGCCTCGTCCTCCTCATCCGTATCCTCCTCGTCCTCCTCGTACTCGTCGTCCTCCTCGTCCCCCTTCTCCGCCTCGTCCTCCTCGTCGTCGTCCCCGTTCCTCCTCATCATCGTCCTCCTCCTCGTCCTGCTCCTCCTCATCCTCGTCCTCCTCTTCATCCGCCTCCTCGTCCTCATCAGATGGATGGTAGGGGGGCATTCGGCCCCCTACCTTCCATCCATCATGGTCACGGTCACAATCGCCATCCTGCTCCGGATCCTCCTCACCGTCCTCCTCGCCTTCCTCGTCATCGTCGCCCCCCTGCTCTTTCTCTTCCCCCTCGCCCTCCCTCTTCGCCAGTTCGTCCCCTCAACCACTCCGCCGGCTGCTGGGGTCGCGGCAGCGCCAGGAGGAGGAGGAGGAGGGGTGGGAGGAGGAGTCCGGAGGAGGAGGAGGAGGAGGAGGAGGAGAAGGAGGAGGAGGAAGAGGAGGAGGATGAGAAGGAGGAGAGGAGGCGGAGGGGTGAGGAGGAGGAGGAGGAGGAGGTGGTGGAGGAGGAGGAGGAGGGGGGAGGAGGAGGTGGAGGGAGGAGGAGGGGAGGAGGGGTGGAGGGGTGGAGGAGGTGGAGGAGGAGGAGGAGGTGAGGAGGAGGAGGTGGAGGAGGAGGGCGGAGGGGGGAGGAGAGGGTAGGAGGGGGGGAGGGGGAGGAGGGAGAGGAGGAGGAGGAGGAGGAGGAGGAGGAGGAGGAGGAGGAGGAGGAATACGGATGCGCACGCTCGTTCGACGTCGTGAGATTTACGCGACCACGATGCTCGAGCGTGAGGGGCGAGCATGGCTGAGAAGTGTGGGTGGGTGGGGGCGGTGGTGGGTGGGTGGGGGGGGGGGGGGGGGCGAGCGCGGGGGCAGAGTTGTGAAG